TCATCTGCCGAATTGCCATAAAGCAGAAAACATGTCCTGGAAAATAGTTACGAAATGATTTCTTCTTTTTTCAGGGGGCTGGGGGAGATACATTAAGAACCTATGAGTATGCTACCCCATAATATTATAACATTATTACAAACTACAATATCCCATAGGAAATTGTGGAAGGGGTGCTGGTTACATTTTGGGAAGTCACAAAACAGCCATTTTTCCAGAAGGAAAAGTGATAAGTTTGCTCCCCACCATCCTTTCTAGTTCCCTGGAATTTTAATTTCCACACAGATTTTATCTATTTTCTGTGCAAATAGTCGCGCTTCCAAATAATACCCAAGGCTGTGCTTATTGTCTAAGAACTCCCATTGGGCCTATTAGGGCCACACATGAATTTTTTAAATGAAGATTGAAATAGAAGCTGAGACTTTGTTTTATAACCAATTAAAATAAGGATGGCAAAGAGCCTGGCAGGTGCTTTGAGCATTTCCTTTTAATCTTAACCCCAGTCCTAGCTCAGTCTCTCTTTTTTAAGACATCCCTCCATTTTGACTCCGAACAGAAAAGAAACTCTGACATATAGTCTGTCAAGAAAAGGGTTTTGTCTGAGCTGCAGTTCATTGGGCTATATCTTGCTTCAGTACCTTTGACATAAAAATTCCACGCCTAGCTGCCTTGACTACTTGTTAGAGTAGAGAAGTGGAATGATTGTATATGCCTGTAGGCATGCACGTATGTATAAATAAGTGCCTCAATGGTGACAATAGAAAATTTGGGACACATCTATTTATTCAATTTTCACAGTGACTTTCTTCTAGGTGCTCCAAACCATGTATCCCCAATAGGTTTGGGCGAGAGATTGTGATTAGTCCAAGTCACCCATTGAGTTTTATGGTTAAATGTGGATTTGTCCTCAATTTCCCATCAGAATGGCATCCTATAATTCAGCTACCCCTAATCTGGATGCCCTTCTGAACTGTGGCTGACAACTCCCAACATTCCCCAACTGATACAACCTTTGCTGAGAATTTGGAAGGTTGAGGAGACATCCATTTTAGCAAAGTCTGCTTTGATGACTACACCAAACATTGTTCCCTGTCAGTAAAAAAAAGAGCATCCTCATGAGAAAAAATTATTATCCAATACTTGCAAAAGTGAGTAACACATACTTTTCATGCTGTACTTTCAATAATTAGCACATCTTACAAATAAACAAACAAGTCATTTCTGCCACCATTCATAATTTCATCTAAATCTGGAGGTTATATTATTTAATGAACTGGGCATTGTGTGTGGACCATATAGTGTGATCTGCCACGTGCCAAAATATTGTTTGTGCATTATATTACTTTACAACAATGGCAAAGAGAAAAGGCATGCTGTGAGCACACATTTTGTGTGCAAGAGGCTATAGAAGAATCTCTAGAATGTCCAGGTCAAACTGGATAGCTCCCCTGTCTGAAACACTGAAGAAATGCAGATAGGCACCTAAGCACTGCCCTACATTGCTAACAAGTTGCTAGAATTGCCAATAATCCTGTTTTAATATTTCTAGTCATAATGATTTCAATTTCATCCAGGTAAACTTTTACAGCAAGATTAAAAAGGTTCACTGGTGTTTCATTTCTTTGTTGTACTGTGAGATGAAATGAGAGCCCCTGGGTGAGATTTAATCTTGCAGCTGTTTTGTTAAGAAATGTCTACGCAGAATTAAGAATTTCCCCAAAAGAAATTCATATCAACTGCTGCTCGTTGTTTTATTTGCCCTGGGACGTATAATTTTAGTTATTTTGTCAAAAGCCTTGTTGTTATACATACAAAGTAACTAAAATTATACCTATATTGCCGATAATATCTCCTGTCAATAGTGTCTATTTTCTTTTTCTTGGTTTTTTTTAATCAAAAGGTTTCCTTCACTAAGGAGATTGTAACTATTAACAATTCTGAAATGTGCTCCAAACTTCAATATCATAGATAAAAACCTTCTACTGTGTATTCTCAGAACAAACAATATAACCCTAAGTCAAAACAAGCATCCATTTCAGATTATAAAAAAGCCTACAATCGAAAAAGATCCCCAAAGAAATTAACTGTAGTGAAGCAAAGTTGCTCATGTTGAGAACATACTGTATATTTTAAAATTCTTTGTGGTAAAAAAGACCATGTTAGAAAGCAGAAACCAAGCACATCTACAAAACTGCTGTCTTGATTTCTTGTGTTCTCTTACGTTCTTCACAATCTCCCTTTCTCAAAGAAGATGATGACTGAAATCAGATCATTTCTGTAAAGAGTATTTGGATCACAATTTGGATTTCCAGGGAGGAAGCAGTATATTCCAGAGAGAAGCCCAAAATAAGAAACTGCACAGTCCTAACTGGATGGGGAAGGAGGAAGAGGTGCAGGATACCTATAGCCTAGAATCTCTCAGGATATATCTGCTAGGTTAAAAGATTATAGCTTTAGACTGGCAAGATTCTATCTATTGGATATAAGCAAAAACATTTGGACTCGATTGGAATTCACAGGCTTATCTCTGGTCTAGAGCCTGACATATGTAGTGGCTATTAATGTTATAATCATTTTAATAACTTTTAAACAATTTTCTTAAAGAAAATTAAGTAGGGGTTGGGTTAATTCATTTCATCGGGCTATTTCTGTGTATTTCCTGTTAATAAAATGGTAGCAAAGAAAGGAGGCTTGGTCCTGCTATGCTTGGGTTTTTTTTAATACTTCTCCCCACACACCACTTTGGGATTTTGTCCAAGCAGATGGATTAAATCTGCTTCAAAGATGGTGGCAACATTCTTCAACCAACAATGAAGGTTTCTCAGATCTGAAATTCCAAATAAATATTTTCTGGGTTTCTCCTTCAAAAAAAAAAAAAAGCTAAATCTCCTTTTAAAGAGTAAACCAAGACTTCTTTCAGAGATCTCTCAGGAAGGGAGACAGAAAACACAATGGCCACTTCGGGCCTCAACAGCAGAGAAGGTTGTCATCTCCCCCCCCCTCTCTCTCCCTACCTCCCCCTCTCTCCCTCTCCCTGCCGTAATTAAATATTGTTTGCAGTGCTTATTGACAGAGCAGTAAGCTCTACTGTGTTTTAATTTGTTCTTTGATAGTTGCCTTTTGCTGCTAAATTGATTTTCAAGGGGTGGGGCTTTTCTGATGTAACTCCTGCTAGGCAATTGAAAACTGGAAGGCAAGAAAAACAGAGCTTCGGCAAGAGTTAGGAACCCAGACATCACTGCTTCAGTAAACTATATCTGCCTGATAGAGCATCTTAGCCACTACGCCATTCTCAGGCAGCTGTTGCCATGGAGTTGATTCAGGAGTGCTGCAGGATATACACATCCGAGTTTCCTAGCAACACACACGCACACACCTGATGGAATGGAGAGATCATTGGATAGGAGATGCTGTCACTAGTGGTGCACTGTAATTGTTAAGAATGGGAACTGTGAGGTAGATGCCTTCATTTCAAAAGAAAAGTCTGCAAGGGTGCATTACTTGCCACCCTAAATCACAATCTGAACTAAAATTTAGAGCCCATTTTCTTGGAAAGTTTAAAGAAAGCAATAAAACGAGAGGCAGACGCTTTCATTCTGAACAGAAAGATGCATTTTAAAGAAATCCTACGAGGGTCATACAATTTGCTACAAAATTTTAAAGTTGTTGTTATATAAATCTGCATAGTAAATTATTTTATAGCAGTGTGAAGATTTAAATCACCTTCAGATTTTAACTTGACATCAATCAATATTATGAGGTCCTTGGTGCTCTCTTGAGTTTGGTTATTTTCTTGTAAATACCTCGCTACTAAACTAGATAACAACATCAGAGCTAGTAGGGAGTGAGGTTTGCTTTAAGTCTATATATTGTACTGGTGACTTGCTCTGCCAGCATCAGCTGGAGTGGTCTTGGTGGTTCTTTTATTGGTTTGTTTTTACTGTTAACTTGTTTATATGAGGTGGCAATTCCTTGATTGGAGTATTGTTTGCTTCTGGATTGTTGATCTAATGTTAATCTTGCTGTTAATCTCTGCTTATCTGGATGTTGATTGCTGGTGAGGAGGTCTTTTTTGTTTTCTTTTTGGCCTCTTTGATTGTCTCTTTTGAATGGTATGTAGATTGTTGTTTATCTCTGTGTGCCTGTTGATGACTGATTTGTCCGAGTGCCAGGCCTCCAGGACTTCTCTAGCACATGGGTGTCTTATTTCATTGAAGGCTGCATTAGGGTTGTTTTGATCTCAGGGGCCAGGGGGGGTCGTGGCCAGGGTGAGCATGGACTTCACTCAACTTCACTCATATTGGGGGTGCCCGTAGTGGTCCGAGCACTCTGCCAGTGAAAACGTGCTCCCGAGCTACATTTTCAACTGCAACAACCTCCTGCAACCCTCTGCTAGTGAAAACAGAGCTCGGGAGGGCCGTTTTTGCTGGCAGAAGCACCGCGAGCGGTCCTTTGCTGTTTTCAGGCCCGCGGGCCAGATCTAAGCACCCAGTGGGCCAGCTCCAGGCCCGGGCCTTGAGTTTGACACCCCTGCTCAAGCAGTTTTAGACAAGTCTTGGTCTAGGATGCTCACAGTTTCCCATGTATTGTGAAATTAAGGAGTCTTTATCATGTCTTCTGACTGCTAGCTGGTATTTAGGGATGTGGTCTGCTAGTCTTTTGCCTGTTGGAGAAGAACTTGGTGGTTCCTCTTTCTTGGATGTTCCAAAGGTGCTTTTCAAAAAGGCAATTGAACTTTATTGGGGTTTTTTCCCCCTTTGAAAACATTTTGTTTCTCATCCAAAAAGCTTCTTCAGTTTTGAATTGAAGAAGTTTCTTGAATAAAAAACAAAATGTTTTCAAAGGGAAAAAACCCAAGAAAATTCAGTTGCTTTTTGGTAAAAGCACCTTTGGAACAACAAAGACCTGGACGATTGAGAATTTCCATAGACATTTTTCCCCCTTGGGGCCTTTCCTGACTTGTTTTTTTTTTAATGATATGTGTCCTTTTCTTTTCCTAGGATGACCCAGAAGGGGAAGAGATTGAAAAAGAGAAATTCAATTCCTTGAAACTGGAATTCACAGATGATGACAACTTCAAAACCAAAGTTAATTACTCATATGCAGCTGTACAGATACCTACAGATATCTACAAAGGCTGTAAGTTCTTCCTTGTTGCAGAACTCTTCATATTGAGACCAGAGACCATATCTTATATGCTCATTTTTTAAAAAGAATTATATGACATAGATAAAAGAATTGGATTAATTTCCTCTTGCATGTACAGATCCTTACAGAAAAGTTACTAAAAAAATTTTTTTTACTTATTCAGTGCTTGAGTTTTCTGGACTGATTCTTAACCAGTTCTTTCCTACACTATAATGTCCATTGGCTCAATAAAGGTTTCCTCTTACCTTCGCTACTGGTTTGGAACTGGGAGAGCACTTGTGCGCATGTTCGCTTCACTTATGTGCAGCACTTCTGCGCATGTGCAGAATCTTCTGCACATGCGCAGCGTGTCCATGATGATGTCTGGGCGGGTGGGCAGAGCCTCCCACCGCTGCCAATACAGGTTCGCCTGAAAAATGGTGAATCGGCGGAATACCACCTCTGAATTGGCTGCATGTAGGTACTCCATTATCTGAATGTATAATTGCTCTACAAGAAAATGACTATTGCTTTATTACAAGAAGTTATTATATTAACCTTTCCAAAGCTGATGTTTTTCTGATGTAGGAAAGGATAATTCTAACATACCAGATAATCTGGGATTATGAGAAACAGAGTCAGGTGTAACTAAACATTGGGGAAAGCCGAACTGGACTGTGGTCTCAAATAATATGGAAAAACTGTAGATGAATAATATCTCAAGAACACTGTGAATTATAAAAACTATTCGGATTTATGCCTAATGTTTATGAACTAAAGACCTAGAAAGTGAAGTTGCCCTCAGGTTAAAAATCTAGATGGAAAAATGCAATGAGGTTTCTATAGCACCAGTGGTTAAATACGTAGGGAAGGAGATGAAGATCTTTGTCCGCATATGCTGATTAAGCTTCAGTTTGATTACTGTGAGCTTTGTGTGTCAAGCCTTCATGAGCTTCAATACTTTATGGATGTACAGAGTCACAAAGTCACAACTTTCTATTACAATTCAGAAATGTTACAGCATCTCTGAAAAATAATAGGATGTAAAGGGAAATATTTAAAAGTCCATCCTCAAGCCACAATTTGGCATCAATTTCAGGCATACTGAGAGCCGTTAAAATTGTAGACTCATAGAATAATTTTGGAAATTATTTAGTTCCATCCCCTGCCCAGGGCAGACTGGAGATTGATTGTGGATTTCACCCAGAATATATATATACACACACATACACACACATATACACATATACACATATACACATATACACACATACACACATACACACATACATACATACATACATACACTATTTCAAGCTATTTAGCTCTCATCAGCTAGCCATACCCTTACTGGGATTTGAACCTGGGCTATATTGCACACTAGG